AAAGAAATGTAAGAAATGTGTCACTAGAAGAGAGTGGGTGGAGACACTAAAAAGTAAAGAAGTATGGCTAGTAGAAAATACATGCATGAGATTGAGACAAATAACAAAATGTAATGAGGCTTAGAAATACAATTAAAGAGAATCAATTAAAATCCTAGATAGAAAGGTATATCAGGTAATTAATTATTACAGTAAGATATAGACAAAAGAGGAAAAACTTTGATGCCCACTAGAATTTAGGATACCATCTTATGGTCAAAACACTATAGGTTACAAACTCCCAGCTCTTTTCTATATTACCCAGATTGTGAATAGCACACAAAACTGATGATTCCTCCATCTTCAAGAGGTGGTATGTGTCAATTTGAAAAAGAAAAACAGATTAGGTAGAATTAGCTGGCTTCTACAGTTTTTACAGTGATCTGTGTAACTAAAGGGCTTGTACAAGCTATAGTTGACTTGTTCCAGCCAGCTTAGATAAACCTGTATCTCTTCTAATGTCTGAAACCATTAATAGAGATCTGACACTTGCCCTAATATCCAATTGTACCCACTCATCCTTCCTCAATGAGGGATTTTAATCAGCATCAATGGCATGGATTTAAAAAAAGAAATAAAGAACTGCCATTAAAGACTACAGCTAATATTTATTCAGTACTTATGTGCTAAATATTGTGCTTTACATGTGTTATCTAATTTAATTTTCAGAAGAGTCCTATGAGGTAAGAATTATTATTTTTATACACAAGAGAAAAAGGAAGTTCAGAGAGGTTGAGTAACTTGCTGTTGGTCACATAGTAAATCAGAATTTGTACTCAGGTAATCTGACAGTAAAGACTGCAGAATAAAATCTCATTTTAGGGCAAAAAAGTGGCATATATTTTCTCCGTTCCCTTTTCCCCATGTTATAAATATTGCAAAACACATGGGTAAGAATTTTGGACTAGGGAGTGAAAGAATTACAAAGGCCTAAGATGACTATTAGATGGACAGGGAAGACTTTATTGAGGATCTCTAGGTAAGACTTTTGAGCTTTCAAGGGCATTGGAGTACCCATTTTCCCTATTCCTTTCCTTTCATTTGGGCTGAGAGTTCTTGCTTTGCAGAACATGTGCTAGAAGAGCTAAGGTGGGGCCCAGATGAAAGGAGTCAGGGTGATAGCTAATGATAATATAGTTTAATCTTAAGAGAGAGAAGAAAAGACATTCTATTATTTCCTCCTGGGATTACTAGCCTAGGTTACCAGAGAGGGAAGAATGTAGGGTATTAAGGGAAGAAAGTTATTGCTAAGAATATGAACTATGCATTTGGACAGAATGATCCTTATGTTCATTTTCTTAGGAAACTATGATTGGTAGATGGAATAAAGAACTTCGAGTGCTTCTACCAGGAGGAATGTTCCAGAGTTAGGGTGAAAGAACATAGAAACAGGTTTTTCAAAAAACAGGGATTTTTTTTTTTTATCTTTAAAAAATGGAAATATATCTCAGTCTTATCTGCAAAATCAACACAGGATATATGCAATTCTCTCAATAATATTAAAGGAGACAAATCACTAATGAATAGTAAGTATAGAAGAGGTAAACAAATATTGATTAGATGGATTTTTCAGCAATTACAAGTTTACAACTCTGAATTCCATAGCTTCTAGGATTTGAATACTATTTATCTGTATGATTTATTTATAATTTTAATCATATCTGTCTCAAAAATACCTAAACATCAAAGGTGTTACATACTCGGACTTCTCTGTGCCAGATCAGATAGATATCTTACTTTGACAAGTCATTTTACTGCTACAAGTTGATTATTCTAGTATAAGTCTAAACTAGGTTTCACTTCCTTCTCTTTCTTTAAAAGGTCAACTCACACTATACTAGTCTTACTGCTTTTCTTATTTATATGTATTCTATTAATATATACCATTATAATATATACATTTTTGCATGATGGTGACATGTATTAGGTAATGTTATAACTGTATTTTGTCTCATTTATGAATGCTGTGTTTCTTCACTAAGACTGTGACTTTTCAGATAGAATTCTGAGCTAAATGGGATATGGGTCTGAACTGACACATTTCATTTTGTATTCTATAGTATGTATCCAATGAAAAGAACCTTCTCTACTTCTTTTTGTAGAATCTACAACATCTTATGATATGGGAAGACATCAAAAGAGGAATATAAGGAATGAACATACTGAATGAATGCAATGCTTACCTAATATTGAAGATCTAAGCATAGCATAAATGCGGTCTATTAATGGCTATGAATTTACCAGGAGGGAAATGCCAAATCCTTCGGTATATTAATCAAACAGAAGTTGAAATTATGTTTCACAGTAAAAAAAGATTTTAAAAATGAATTTTAAAGAAGACTAAGAAACTCTATTGGCAACTCAGAAGTATACGCAGTTTAGTCTCTTGACACAGACTAGGTACTCTATGAATGGAAATTATGTCCTATATTACACACCTCCATTTGGAAGTCTGCTCTAGGTATCTGAGTATCTATAGCTGGATAAAATTTTACACCCATAAAGACCCCATTAAGCAGCTCTCCATAACTAGGTGAGAAAAAGCCTTAGGGTATATTGGTATATTTTGAGACATACCTATACTGCCTACTTGGTATATTGTGAGAAAGAGCCTTATGGCTCTTTCTCAGGGGCAGATGAAAGAAATCCCTCTGTCTCTTGTTGAGAGATATTAAGTTTACGAATATTGATGAATACTGACTGTATGGTAGAATATATCGTTTGCTAGGAAGCATGACGGCAAGGAAAACCTAGCCGACCCCCTCCCTAAGTGGAAAACCATTTGGGGCATTCCAAAGTGGCAGGACAATGTATAAATATCATACACCAGTTAAAACAATTCTTTGAGATATCTGACCCTGCCCCCGTGGCTCCCTCAAGGAGAATACCTTTTAGTTTGTCTGTAGTCAGTGGTAAGCGGGTAACAGCTGCCCACTTGGTATATTGTTGAGTTATGAGAAAATATAGAACACCTGTTTCTTAATAATAATCACCTGTTAAGAGAGACTAAATAAGTGGATCAGGATCCGCTTGGGGCCTTCAGCTTGGAATGCTGTCAGCCCCCGAGGCTCTCAGTTCAGAAGGCTGCTGGCTCCCCGGATAGACCCACTTTGCTGTTCTATCTGGGTGTATGCCTCTCATTTCCTTCAGCGCCGCCTGGGTGACAGTCTCTTCGGCTGGTAAACTCTGTGATACCTGGCTTAAGACTATGGGACTCCTATGATCCCACTGTACTTACTCAACTCACTGGACAGATAGCACTCCCAGATGACAACACTTTGAAGGTTCCATGTTTTACGTCAAGTACCAAAAACACAATTTTATTTCTCAATATTTAGTTTATGACAACAATATAAACAGAAACACTTAGACAAAGCAGATGTTTAACGTCCTAAATTACATGGTTACAATGTAGAAACACAAACAGATTTAAATCAAGGGTTGTGAGCATATTACATCTTTCTCAAATTAAGACAAGTCTGGCATGCTATGACATTCCATGTCAGATGATCTATACTCATAGACCATTAATATATAATAGAAATTTAAAAATGCTTTACCATTTACAGAGTTGTAGAATACTGCTCTTGTGCTCTTCACGCTGCTGGCACTGCCCACAGAGCCTCCAACATCCCATAATTCTATGTAGTACGTCTTCTCTTCTGGGGTTCCTTCTTTGTAATCATGAACCTAACAAATCAATCAATTAAAATAATTATTACAGCCACTGAACTGGTTAGCACCTTCATTCCATTTTAAAACATTTCAGCATCTTACTCTTTCTGATCACTACCATTTTTTAAGCTTCCTCTCTTTAATTCTTTAATAATATTGACTCTAGAGGACCTTACAGTTAATTGATCTTAACGTCGTTCACAGCTCTCTGCTCCACTTCCAAAGCCTCACCTACTTCCTAACTAAGCATAAATTCCATGATCCATCATTACTGTCATTCCTTTGCCCCTCTCTCACATTGCACTCCTCTGACAAAATTCTACTCTTGGTTATATCCACCTTTTACCCTCTTCCATGTCTACAACCCAGCAACTGAATGTGGAGCTCAGAAAAATATGCATTCAAGATGGATAGATACTTTCTAAATTTAAGTGTACCTTTAGACCTGTCCTTTAATCGGTTCCACAGTTAATTTACCATTTTCCTCTTCCAGATAACTACTTTATACTTTTTCCTCTTTTTAAACTTCCAATATCTCTTCCCCATCCTCAATTACAACTTTGCTTCCTAATGCAGCAGCTATTAGAAAAGAACTTCTACAACCTGTTCTTCCTGTATCTACTCACCTCCCTCCATCTGTGCCCACATAATCTGCTTTCCTTCTTGCTGTTTTCTTAGGCTGCCTGTGTCCCTAAGGCTAAATCCTCCTCCTGTGCATGAAATCCCATCCCTACTTTCTTGCTCAAAGATGTAATTCCACCAGTTCTCCCCTCTCTCCATTATATCATCAAATTTTCCTTCTCAGCTGGATAATTCTCACCATACAATTCAATTCTCAGCATACAAACATGCCATAAATTTTCTCATCTAAAAAAACCCTTCTCTTGACTTCAAGTCCTCTTCCAGTTACCAAGCCACTTTCCTTTTCAACAGCAAAAGTCCTCCAAAGAGTTTTCTATTCTTAGTGGTAATTCTTTTCATATTCTCTTTTGAACTCATTTCTATCACTAAACTATTCCTTGTCAAGGTCACCAATGACCTTCACATTGCTAATTCCAATGGTCAATGAACAGTTTTCATTTTAACTCCCCTATCTGATGCAACTAATCACTTATTGTGCCTTGCAATACTTTCTTCACCTGGCTTCCAGGATATCACATTCTTCCAGTTTTTTTCCTATCTCATTGGCTAGTGCTTTTCAGCTTCCATTTGGGTTCTCCTTATCTCTCTGATTCTAAATGCTAAAGTGTTTCAAGATTTAGTTCTTCAATCTCTTTTCTTCTTTATCAATACTTGCTCTTGTGGGAATTTCATCTAAAAGGCAATTTTCTTCTTCCAGTTACTTGGGCCAAAAACTTAAAACTGATCCTTGACTCCTTTCATATTGCATTTGTCAACAAGCTCTATTATTTTAACTTTAAAAATATGTCAAAAATCTGTTTCTTTCTCCCTACCTCCACTATTACCACCCAGGTCAAAGCCTCTATCTCCTTGCATGAATTGATGTAATGGTCTGCTAACTGATCTCCCTACTAGAGGCAACCCCCAACCTCCCTGTTTGTTTTCCATACAGTAGCTAGAGTATCCTTTTAAAATACAAATTATATCATATGCCCTTTTGCTCAAAACCTTCCAATGACTTTCTCACTCACAGTTATCTCCAAAGTCTCTCTTTTTCTCATGTCTAGGCTCTAGAAGCATTTATTGCCTGTACTGTATAACTATTCAGAAACAAATTACGATAGATGGCAAGCAGATTAAAGTATGCTGGTTCATGAATATAGATCAGCATCTTCCAAAAATTAAAAAAAATTTTTTTAAAGAAATATACATGCCAATCTTACTGAATCAGGACCCTTGGGAAAAAATACTAGGTACATGTATTTTGAACAATTCTCCAAATGACTCTGCTGTAAACCCCTCATTAAGAACTGCTGCTTTTGGCCAGGCGCGGTGGCTCACGCCTGTAATCCCAGCACTTTGGGAGGCCGAGGCGGGTGGATCACGAGATCAAGAGATCGAGACCATCCTGGTCAACATGGTGAAACCCCGTCTCTACTAAAAATACAAAAAATCAGCTGGGCATGGTGGCGCATGCCTGTAATCCCAGCTACTCAGGAGGCTGAGGCAGGAGAATTGCCTGAACCCAGGAGGCGGAGGTTGCGGTGAGCCGAGATCACGCCATTGCACTCCAGCCTGGGCAACAAGAGCGAAACTCCGTCTCAAAAAAAAAAACAAAACAAACAAAAAAAAAAACTGCTGCTTTTATGGAATGGGACTATTCTGGTATTGGCAGGACTAGATTCTACTCCTTGATTGCCACTGATCATCCCTGGTATCTTGGAGCCTCAGTTTCTTTGCCTATAAAATGAAAGAGTTGTAATATGTGATTTCTAAAGTATCTATTGGCTTTTACATAATAATTTAAAAAACAAGGTAGCTCAGTAGTTAAAATAAATGCCTGTCACAAAATGCACTAAAACTCACATACTATATTCTACTTAATGCTTCACACTTTTACTTATTCACAATTTTTTGTCCAAAGCCAAGTAAAAATTTAAATAAATATGCTACTCTATAAACAGCCACATTGACATTAACAAGATGATTATCAGACTGACATCAAAGACAATGTGATAGAAAATGAGAATAGCACAGTCACAGTAGTTGGGGACCATTTGGGATAACAGAAATTAATTCTGTATGCTACAATAGAAGGCATTACTATTTTGTTATATGGCAAAAATATATGTAATCATGCCAAGTCAGCAATAAAAAAAAGTTAAATCAAGCAGAAAAAACATGTTTTAGCAAGATTTCCAAGCAAAACAATGAGAAAAAACAGTATGAGGTATTATAAGGAGTAAGTAATCTATCTGTTACAAAAAAGCTCAGGCACTTCAGTGAAGTTTTCCTGATCCTACCTTTCTTCTGGGCCCAAATCAACCAGAACAGGTTTGGTACTCCTCCTATTTGCTTCCACAGCATCCTACCCACCTCTATCATTTCATTAAACACACTGCCTTATTTATCTACTGATATCTTTTCTTCTAGACTCTGAGTGTAAGGGCCGGGACCATGTATTATTCATCCTTTAGCCCTAGAAAACAGCATAATATCTAGCATACATTAGATGCTTGGACATGTTTGTTAAATAAATGAATAAATTTAGAATAACTCATCCTCCAGGTTTTTTATTATATTCAGTTTATTATTTACCAAATTCCAGTGTTTCTCCAGTACAGTTCTGAGAGCAAACTAAATCAAAACCAGTAAGAAGTTTGTTAAAAAAAAAATACAGGGCCGGGCGCGGTGGCTCAAGCCTGTAATCCTAGCACTTTGGGAGGCCGAGGCGGGTGGA